GTGAATCTTGAGGATTAATGGTTCGTGCTCACGATGATGCAAAAACAATAAAATAAATAAAAATCACGCTCCACGCTTTGGGACCGTGTATGCGTTACAAAAAGTGACGAGGTTAGGTGGTGTTGACTAGCTGCCTTCCCTCTAGTCCAGGGGTTCCCAAACAGGGGGTGCGAAATGATGGTACAGGAGGTACGCGGAAGAAGCCTATACAAGGTCCACCCCCCCCCCCCAAATGTTGCAAAGAAGAAATGTCTAATTCACACTTTTTAGGGGAGGGGTGCGAGGGCCACAAAAGGTTGGAAACCACTCCAAAATTAGGGACATAAACAACCGACAAATCCAACCGAGATCTTCTAAACTATATTATCTATTGTTCAGAGAAGCCCCCCCCCCCCATTTTAAGTACCTTTCTAGTTAATATATACTAAGATTAGGGACACAAACAACCGACAAATCCAACCAAGAGCTTCTAAACTATATTATCTATTGTTCAGAGAAGCCCCCCATTTTAAGTACCTTTCTAGTTAATATATATATACTAAGATTATAACGCCAACCTTACCCAAAACTAACAAAAAAGAATTAAAATCAACAAATGTTTACAAATCATATATTATGAGTACTCATCGACTGCCACTAAAACAGTGTATATTTATTTATTTATACACTAATTATGTTTACAAGTTATAGCTACTCAAACTGGTTTGATTCGCTTTCTTCCACGTTCGCGTACTTGCATAACAGTCGTTTAGTTGGGTCACCGAAATAAATTAAACTTACAATATTTGTTGAACAGTCTGGTACAGCAAGCTTTTTAACGTCTAAATTTGCCAGTCTTGTAATGGTGGTTATCAAACTGTATTACTCCAGATTTATTACCCACAGAAATTAGTGGCAAAAGCACGATTATACAGAACAAAAAAGTAGGACCAGAAGCATTTGTAGGAGACGCAGTCATACGCGATAATAGAGAAAAAGTAGTGGCGATAAAAGTTATTGATACAAAGAAAATTCTTGCATTTGTAAGAGACACCAACATCGGATATTATATACAGACAAGAGAGGAGTATTTTTAATGGATATCATGACAAATAATACAGAGAAAATAGAAGCGTTTGTTAGGTAATATTTTGGATGATTTCACAAGGTGTTTATAATAAACAACTGGCGTATAGCCCGTCAAAAATGACGGGGCAAGTACTACCACCCCCACCCCATAGTATATCCAATCCTCACATTTCATAGCTAACTGAAATATATAAATTTTGCGAAATCAAGCTTGACCAACAAAGAGGCAGAAAAGTGCAGTCAGACGTGGATAAATTCCTATGAGCAAATCAAAATTAAGATCGTTCATGAAATGAATTCGTGGCGTATTCTACATTTAATTTCTGTAGTGCATATTGGTGTATAGAAGACATATTAATACCAGATTTAAACGACCTTATATAAGACCCTATGCGCGTGACGTCATGCTTATATTACTGGCAAGTAGAAAAGTAAACACCGCCATTTTGGACGTATCAGAAAGACAATCTGGTAATCACAATGTAGTTGTTGGTATCAGAATTTGAGATCAAGTATTTCAAATGAAAATCAACTGTGCTGCAGTTAGTTGTACAAACAACGGGGCAAAGACTCTAGAGTTACCGTTTTATAAGTTTCCAAAAAGATCCAGTAGGTAGAGTAAAAGGTGCAGACTCGGACAACACTAACAAGGCTTGGAAACCATAGTTGTATTATAGTCTATGCAGTTCCCATTTTATATCTGGTTAGTGCTATTTGTATATACAATGTACCTTGTCACAATTATATTGCACAGATCTTGATAAAATCTGTAGCTTGTAAATATTTGGTGCTTCCCGTAATGTAAATACTATCATACAGGACCATACAAGAAGTGCTAAGTGGTAGGGCCCAGTGGGCGATAATAAAGTTTTATCAAAAATGTGGCTTGTCAAAACTGGTGGTCTTAAAATTCAGGGCATATTTGTGTAACCTATATGGTAATGTGTACTGAAGAAAGTGGTCTTGCAAGACAGGAGAACTTAAGACGCTATACAATACGATGTAGTACATCTAGGTTGTAAATTTATCACTGATAGAACATAAACAATAGGCCTAGTCACTAAAAATAACTTCGGCTTACCCTCGAGTAAGCTATGTAGTTGGATGTCTTGTACACTTTGCATAGTTTGACATCGTGCACCCAGCTGGTCACAAAATACTTGTAATCATCAAGGCTTATATAAGCCTTTAACTGCTTTCCATGTAAAATGATGTTGTCAGGGCAAAATAATTTACGATATCTATATCCTCAACCTGTGGGGCTTTAACGTTGGTTTGTAGGCCTAACTTTGGTCCTCCGTTTGCAATGTCAACTAATTTACTGGCATCTAGCGTGATTGTCATTGCTGACGGGATGGAATAAGGATCTGTGATGTCATGACCTACTTTTCTGCATTTTTCTTCCTATATTGACTTGTATATATTATCTAACTTCGTAGTAAATTCGTGAAAATTGACCGGAGAACTAGGTGATGGTGTAGCTGAAGCCATGTTTACCCGAATAATATTTACGTCCAATATGGCCGCAAATTGTTGCCGTCGTTACTTGACTGCATAATTTTTTTTTATAGACAACAAAACTTGGAAAATATTTGTTGATTTCTTAATTTACACAGAAAAATAACTTAGTTCAGAAACAATTTATGTTCAAAATTGAATCGATATTTTTACTTTCATGTTAAATGTTATGCACTTTGCTCTAGACTAGGTGATTCCACAATACATCTTTACTTTAGGCTTATTAATATAACAACAATAACTACTCTTGTAAGGTTTAAAAGTACCCCCTCACGGCCCCTTGCACCCCGTCACTAAAATCGTAATGGGCAGACAGTAATAGAACTATTCTGTCTGGATAAATGCATTTTGGCTTTTATGACGACTCCTATTTCGAGAAATCAAGCGTGATGTGACACACGACTTTTATATAGGTTAGATTACTTTGTGTACAGTCATAAAACTGAGTAACATTTTAACAATTACACATGCTTTTCAAACATTTAATGGTTGGGTAGGCTTCAGTAGAAATTACGAGATGATCCTTCAGGTGCACTTACCTCCCTCAACAGTAGACTGTACGGTGATGCACATGTCATTATCCAACGGAAACTGATCACAGCGGACCATGTCCGGCCAGGGATAGCCGTACGTATTCATTCTTCTTTCACATCCTTTACGGACGGCCTCGCACAGGGAGCGGCAAGGGTAGATTGGTCGGTCTAGGCAGACTGGCGAGAACAGGGAACACAAGAACAGCTGTGTGTCTGGGTGACATTTGAGGTTGAACAGAGGAACCCATGGCCCGGCCTGTTGACCCACTTCGATCATTGTATCATGGCCCAGTAAATTAGGCAATCTCATCTGTGTATATCCGATCCCGTGACATAGGGTCAAATTCTGGGGTATATCCACGCACATAGGCTGGGTCAAGCGACTTCCTACCATATTCCAGTCGGTCAAGTAAGCTGAAGTCTGCATTACGTGGACTCCGGTCAGTAGAAGCCCTATGAACAGCACGTGCTCCATTCTCATTCTAGTATACTAAACACCGATAGTTTTTTTGTTGTTGTTTTTTTTTATGTCGGCTAGGTGGCTATTAATTCGTTGGTTTGGCACTAGGGTTTATTCCGTTTCAAACACTCACCAAATCATCGTGACTTAAACTGATAATGATATGATAACAATGTTAAAAGGGTAAACTTTAATAATTTCTTAGAATTAACAGCACATACCTTCCTTGTCCACTTTATATACTAAGCAGAAGCTCTCGGAAATGTCTAGAAGAGGCATTTAATGTTCACTTCCGAATGGTGTTATGTATTTTAAAATCACATCTCTATCTTACCATCACCTTTCAAACGCAACATTCAAAACTGTTAAATTTTACTGCGGTCTCTTGTCTACTAGGTTTCAGCTGGAATAAGAAACACGTGACTTACTCCAGCCAATCCGACCTGGTTTAAAGTCACGAGCCAAGTCGCCTCTCGTTGGGAGGATCAGCATTATATTGAATCTAGTCTTTGATGAGAAGTGATCAACATGCTTAGGAATGCCGAATACCTGTCTTGCTTAACAAAGCCTTCACAAAAACTTGTTTAACTCCCATCGCTACGGAGATTTGCTGCCCTAGTCAAGACTATTTTAAGTTTTCATTCGTGGAATATGCGAGTTACAAGCGCTTGTGAGAAGTCATATATGTATGTAAAAGCACAGCACTTTGATTCTTAAGAGGGTTGACAAACAATACTTAAGTTTTTAAAAATAAAAATCTCAAGTGCCTGTGTTTCTTACATGTCAAAGCTTTAAGCCTACTTAGAGCAAGACCAATCTATCCCTGCTTCCCCTGCAGTAGTAGAGTGAACCACGTGACAATTATATGCCCTAGGGCAGAGAAGGAGAAGAGGAGGCGGTCGTTGTGAGTTAAATGTGTAGCCACCGTCCCGATTTTTACTTCTCTGAGTATATGGTTTCTAGTATAGAATGTTATCTTTGACAAATGAGCTTTTTAATTTCCACTGCGTACTTCGTGCTGGTTAACAGTGGGGGGTGTGAACCATCCACCCTCTTCGAAAAAAATTTCACTGGACTCGCAGAACTAAGGGAATGAAGAGGCGGTAAGCTGAAAGAGAGTGTGATAGATGGTTTAGTGTTGATGAATACCGTGATACCGTTCGTTTCCCTCATCCAAGCATCTGCCTTCTTGTTTCTTTTATGATGTCTGATTGTCCAGTCTAGAAAGCTTAAGCTAGCGCGTCTCGTACATGCTGAGTTTGCCGTTTGTTAAGAAAGAAGTAAGAAAGAGGCAGCTAATCAACAACACCCACCGCCAACTCCTAGGCGACTGTAATCGAATAGGTGGATTTGACCATCACTCTTAAAACGCACTCACGACCCAGAAATACAAAGCGCGATTTTTTGGGGCGATAACAGAGTACGAACCACGGACCTCCGATCCACAGTCCAGCACGTTAACCATCTGGCCTCGTTCATGTCGAATTTGACGAAGGATGGTACAGAATATTTGACTGTATATATATATATTAACAAGTTGTAATTTTATTAAATACATAAAGTGAAATTGGATATAATTGTGACCATGTTACCAAGGGTATAAAAAACTCACAGTTTAGTCTGTTTGTTTTGAATTTCATGCAAAGCTACACGAGGGCTATCTGCGCTAGCCGTCCCTAATTTAGCAGTGTAAGACTAGAGGAAAGGCAGCTAGTCATCACCACCCACCGTCAACTCTTAGGCTACTCTATTACCAACGAATAGTGAGATTGACTGTCACATTATAACGCCCCCACGGCTGAAAGGGCGAGCATGTTTGGTGTGACGGGGATTCGAACCCGCGACCCTCTGATTGTGAGTCGAGCGCCCCCTAACCACCTGGCTATGCCGGGCCACAGTTTAGAAATGTGTTGATTATATAATGGCGTTAAATATAAGTGATCATATTATCAAAGGTATAAGAAAAATCAATAAAATTTGAAAATGAAAATTCTATAATGATTTTAAACATAACTGGTTAAGTAACCACGATTTACTTTAAGCCACGAATGTACATTTATTTTGAATCCGTATAAACTACATGTGATTGTACTGTTGTTAATTTCCATTTAAAAACTTAGCCTAATGGACGTGTTTCAACATGGCGGATTCGATATCCAATTTTCCTTGAAAGTATGACTATATATTTACGAATTTTAAGAGGAAAGAAACGATCTGAAAATAAATAATAATAACAATATACAAAATTAGATATATAAAGCCCCCATCTAAAGAAGCATTAGTAGCAATATAATAATGATTTATCTTTGTTTGTTTAATTGTTTGTTTGTTTGTAATTAAGCACAAAGCTACACAATGGGCTACCTGTGCTCTGCCCACCACGGGTATCGAAACCCGGATTCTAGCGTTGTAAGTCCGCAGACATGCCGCTGTGCCACTGGGGGGCCATTACCTCAGTCAAACAGAATGTACTTGATAAACATGCTGTCTGTTTTGCGCGCCAAACGCTTTTATTATTATGAGAATAGACGTTAAAATCTCGCCTTCGTGGCTCAGGGATAATCTTTCGGGCTTATAATGCAAAAATTCTAGGTTCAATTCCTTGCTTTGGGCAAAGCACGGGCTACCAATTTTGCGCTTAACAACAAATAAGTCATAAGAAAAGAATGAAGAATTAGAAAAAATTGAAGTCAGAATTACTGCAATGTCTGCGATTTGTTGATCTTTATAATCAGATGCTGTAATGGGCTTGACGAGTGTAAGCTCATGTTGCCCCCCAGGGTAACAAGATACAGTACCGAAACCTTTCTGCGAGGGTCACCATCAACTGATAACACATTCCATAAATAATAGAAAAGATATCAGTAACAGTACAGAGTGCGAAAAATATGGAACCGTTTCTTTTCAAAAGAATAAAAAAAAACGACAAAATTTTATGTTTATGTTTTTAATTTTTTTTCCTTTTTGCATTATTCTTATTATTTGAATTACCAATGTTAAAAATGGCGTTACTCGTACTGTCTCCGGTAATAATGACACTAGTGTCGTTATTACCGGAGACAGTACTAGTAACGCCATTTTTAACAGTGTCATTATTACCGGAGACAGTACGAGTGATGCCATTTTTTAACAGTGTCATTGTTAACGGTACCATATTGTTCCCCACTTTCAATTACCAGTGGTGCCATTATTACCGGAGACAGTACGAGTGACGCCATTTTTTAACAGTGTCGTTATTACAGGACATTATTATTATCATGTAAGTTTGTTAATACACTTATCTATAAACCAAATATAAATAACGTAACTTGAAATGTACACTGACACGGTAGAAAAAGCCAAACAAAACAAAGTTTTTATTTTAAGACATCAATATAATCAATATGATTGTGAAGAAGTATTTCATAATTAGCTGTGGCATTTCCTACTCCATGAATGCAGTTGAACTACGTCAGCAACGATAACGTTTAACTATTAACAGATTTTAATTTGTTTGTTTGTTTGTTATGAATTTCGCGCAAAGCTACACGAGGGCTATTTGCGCTAGCCGTCTCCAATTTAGCAGTGTAAGAGTAGAGGGAAGGCAGCTAGTCATCACCACCCATTGCCAACTCTTGGGCTACTCTTTTACCAACGACTAGTGGGATTGACGGTAACATTATAACGCCCCCGCGGCTGAAAGGACGAGTATGTTTGGTGTGACGGGGATTCGAACCCGCAGATTGCGAGTCGAGCCACCTAACCACCTGGCCATGCCGGGCCCAGATTTTAATGCCCGATGGAACAAAATCCTTAGAGTATATGTCATACTATTCATAAACAATAACTGGATTCACTCTGATAACAAGAGAAAACAGCAACAGTAATTACAAATACGATTACTGTGAGGTCATCTTTAAAATAATACATTTCACATACATCTAGAGAGCTAATCATAATTAACTAAATTTTGTTTGTTAACCTCAAAACTCTAGGATAAGTTCAATAATTTCTAAACTTCCTCCGTTAACCTCACAACTCTAGGATAATTCAATAATTTCTAAACTTCGTCCGTTAACCTCACAACTCTAGGATAATTTCAATAATTTCTAAACTTCCTCCGTTAACCTCACAACTCTAGGATAATTTCAATAATTTCTAAACTTCGTCCGTTAACCTCTCAACTCTAGGATAAGTTCAATAATTTCTAAACTTCGTCCGTTAACCTCTCAACTCTAGGATAAGTTCAATAATTTCTAAACTTCGTCCGTTAACCTCACAACTCTAGGATAAGTTCAGTAATTTCTAAACTTCGTTCGTTAACCTCACAACTCTAGGATAAGTTCAATAATTTCTAAACTTCGTCCGTTAACCTCTCAACTCTAGGATAACTTCAATAATTTCTATCTGTATATGTGTTTATCCCTGTAATACCGCTTTTATTGTATAACACATTTGTTTTAGAGACAAGCTTTAAATGATAAATCCGGAATGCAAATTCATTAATATTTAAAGATATTATACCTAAATCTACTTTTTTCTCCCAAAGGTATTTGTGAATGGATTTGTTTCCGAATAACAATTCTTTCATGCTCTATTATCAAATTTTTACACTATTTTGATCTTCCTGATATGTCTGAATATTGAGAAACTTCTAATCTTTCTGTTATTTCTGACTACAGAGAATTTTTTGATTTTCCTGATCTGTCTATTGTTTGTTATTAAGCACAAAGCTACACAAATGGCTATCTGTGCCCTGCCCACCACGGGTATCAAAACGTGGTTTTTAGCACTGTAAGTCCGCATACATACCGCTATGCCACTGGGGGACTGGTATTTCTGACTATTGAAAAAACTTTTGATCTTCCTGGTCTGTCTGACTTTTAAAAACTTTTGATTTTCCTGGTACTTGTCTGACTATTGAAAAACTTTTGACCTTCCTGTTCTGTCTGACTATTGAGAAACTTTTGACCTTCCTGTTATATTTGACTATTGAGAAACTTTTGACCTTCCTGTTATATTTGACTATTGAGAAACTTTTGATCTTCCTGGTCTGTCTGGCTTCTAAAAACTTTTGATTTTCCTGTT